TACACACATATACATATAGGAGTTCTGTGAGGGGAGAAGAAGCACCTCACTCACAGAACATCGTTGCTTCTTTCAACTTAGAGAACAACTAAACACGAAAGTTTCTTTGGTTTTGCCTCTCTTGAATTCAGACTTGTAATTTTTCTTGTTGGCTTTTGACAATTGTGGGAGGGAAGGGAATGGGGTCAAAGTTTCATGCTTTTATGTTCCCAGCGTATGCTTTTGGTCATTTCATACCGTATCTTCATTTAGCTAACAAACTAGCTGAGAAAGGTCACAAGATCACTTTCTTGCTTCCCAAGAAAGCTCAGAAACGGCTCGAACCTCTCAATTTGTTCCCGGACAGCATTGTCTTCGACACTCTTACTCTCCCTCCCGTGGAAGGTCTCCCTGTTGGCGCTGAGACAATCTCGGATCTCCCAAACTTGTCTGGGAAAATCCTGTTCCATTCCATGGATCTCTTACGTGATCAGATCGAAGCAAAGGTTCGTGCTTTAAAACCAGACCTAATTTTCTTCGATTTTGTTGAGTGGATTCCGGAAGTAGCAAAAGCGTTTGGAATCAAGAGTGTGAGTTACCAGATCGTATCTGCGGCTTGTTTAGCTATGGCTCTTGCACCTGGTGCTGAATTAAATTTTCCCCAACCGCCAGGCTATCCTTCATCCAAAGTGGCGTTACGTGGACACGACGCTAACCTCTATTATTCTTTCTCCACTGATGCCTACAATGAGCTACCTGTTCGGATCACCACAGCTCTCAAGAACTGTGACGTTATTTCCATAAGAACATGCGAGGAAATTGAAGGTAAGTTCTGCAGTTTTATCGAACGACACTGTCAGAGAAAAGTTCTCTTGAGCGGTCCCATGTTCCAAGACAAGAGTACTAAACCACTAGAAGATCGATGGAATCATTGGTTGAATGGATTTGAACCAGGCTCGACAGTGTATTGTGCATTTGGCACCCAATTCTTGTTAGAGAAAGATCAGTTTCAAGAACTCTGTTTAGGAATGGAGCTAACAGGTTTACCGTTTTTGGTAGCTGTTAAGCCACCACAAGGCTCATCGACTATTCAGGAAGCCTTACCAGAAGGGTTCGAAGAACGTGTTCAAGGTCGTGGGATTGTTTGGGGGGGATGGGTGGAACAACCTTTGATCTTGTCTCATCAATCAGTAGGTTGCTTTGTGAGCCATTGTGGATCCGGTTCAATGTGGGAATCTCTGGTTAGTGATTGCCAGATTGTGTTTATTCCAACAATGGGCGATCAAGTTCTCACCACAAGATTGTTGAGCGAGGAACTTGAGGTCTCTGTGAAAGTGCAGAGAGAAGATTCTGGATGGTTCTCTAAAGAGAGCTTGAGGGATGCAATTAAATCGGTTATGGATAAAGATAGCGAGCTTGGGAAGGTAGTGAAGAGGAATCATAAGAAATTGAAGGAGACCTTGGTTAGTCCTGGATTCATGAATGGTTATGCTGATAAATTTGTTGAAGCATTGGAGAATGAAGTGCACAATACAAAATCGTTTTGAATGGCATCATTTGCAAATTCTAAAATATTGTTTCTTACGGATTGGAATAATCCTTCCTTTATTTTCATAAAGAATAATGTGCGTAACCTTTCAAATAAAATATCAATTTTTTTTGTTTTGAAGAAAAGTTACAGTTTTAATGATCAATTGCCTCTCCCGAGCGTATGTATGAGGTCGTAATGTTAACAAAAAGTTTGTCTTTGTAACCTCATAAGCTGCGTCATAGCCCCAGGCGCAATTTAAGAACAGTTTTATAAAACTTACAGTCCTGATGAGTATATGTATATTGAAGCGAGACACAGAGGATATGCAAAAAAACAATAAGGGTTAATTTGGTGGATAAACCATATGTTAGAAGAGAATCATGTCATGTCATATATAAAACTATATAAGATACAAAAATAAATTAATTAGAAAGTTGTCAATGAAGACAAACGACAACCACAACCACACGGAACATGAAATCCAGTAATTAATTATATCTCACCAACCCCATACTGATAACTATATGTAACCTAAAATATTTACACATGCACATTCTCTACTTCATATAGAAGTGTCGTGAGGAGAGAAGAAGCATCCAACTCACAGAACACGTTGCTTTGCTTCTTTCAACTTAGAGAAAGGAAAAAGAACACAGTTAGTTTAATTTTCATACTCATGAGTTCACAATTAGTTAAACTCGAACCTTTTATAGTTATTATCACCACTCACCAATTAGGATTTATTGATCTTTCAACTTTAAATAAACGTGTTTAGGAGTCACTTCCAAACTTCTACTCTAATCAATACAATAATAACTCTTGTGTCTCTCCTAAAGATGACACATCAGATTTTTGAAGTTTTATAAGCATGACACCTCAGCAAAAATTATCATCAATCAAAACATTTTATTAATACAACTCATATACTTTTAATTTTTAAATTGAAACCCATTAAAAATCCAAATATTTAATCTATTCATTTTTTTGTTTTGTTTTTAACCAAACCCAAGCCCAAATAATAAACAACACTAGATAAAAAAAAAATTATTTTGTTTTTTGTAAAACTTAAGCCCAAATAATAAATAACAGCAAATTAAAAAAAATATATATTTGTTTTATTTTTTGCCAAACCAAAACCCCAATAATAAAAAACAGCAAATAAATAAATAAAATAAATTCTAGCTATATGTTTGTTTGACATAGGCATATGTGATTGAAAAAAGTGTAGGCAAAGATGGAAAAATAGTTAGTGTATTTTTCAATTATCTTACTATATTGAAAAAATTCAGAAATATATATTTACTGTATTTTTCAATTTATTTATCTTTTTATCTATTTTTCAATAATTTTGTTTTTTTTTTTGTCATGTCGGAAAAATGCGATTTCTTAGTTTGATAGGAAAATAAATTTTCTAGATTTTGATGGAAAATAAAATTTCTCGGTTATGATAGGAAAAAAATATATCGGTTTTCACAGAAAATGCAAATTCTCGATTTTGGTGGGCAACACAATTTTCTGTTTTTGATGATGCGATTTCTTAGTTTTCCCATGAAAATACAATTTCACAGCTTTTGCGGGAAAATACAATTTGACGATTTTGGCGGAAAAATATAATTTTTCAGTTTTATTAGGAAAACACGATTTCTCGGTTCGACGAGAAAATAATTTTTCTTGGCTTTGGCAGGAATATAGAATTTCTCTGTTTTGCGGGAATAGAGGATTTCTTGGTTTCTGTAGGAAAATGTAATTTTTAGTTTTGGTAGAAAAACATAATTTCTCGGTTATGAAGGAAAAGGTAAATTCTTGGATTTGACGGAAAAATGTGAATTTTCAATTTTGGTGAGAAAAAAAATTGATTTGGACGGTAAAACAAAATATCTTACTTTTGAGTGAAAATGCGATTTTTGGTTTTGATGGAAAATGCAACTTTTCAATTTTTATGAAAATGTGATTTTTCAGTTTTGATAGAAACTGCAATTTTTTGGCTTTTGATGGATAATGCGATTTTTCTTAGTTTTCGCGAGAAATTGCGATTTGACGATATTAGCGGAAAATGTAATTTCTCGGTTTGATGGAAAAACAAAATCTCTCGGTTTTGGCAGGAATAAGCAATTTCTCGGTTTTGATGGAAAATGCAAATTTTCAGTTTTTGACGAATAATGTAGTTTTTTTTTTCAGGAAAATGTGATTTGTTAGTTTTCACGGGAAAAAAGGCAATTTCTGTGGAATAATGCAATTTTTTATTTTTGCGAGAAATTGTAGTTTATCTGTTTTGGTAAGCGTGATTCTTGGTTTGACGAAAAAAATGAATTTTTTGGTTTTGACGGGAATAGATGATTTCTCGGTTTTTGCAGGAAAATAAAATTTCCGGTTTTGATGGAAAAATATGATTTTTTTTTTGTTTTTGCAGGAAGATGAATCTTTTGATTTTGGTGAAAAAACGTGATTTCTTGTTTTGATAGAAAAACACTGGTTCTCGCGGAAAAATGTGATTTTTTGGTTTTGTGGAAAAGTGCAATTTCTCTGTTTTGGTGGTAAAATAAAATTTTAGGTTTGACGAGAAAATGATTTTTTTTTTTTTACGGGAATATGCAATTCAGTTTTATGAAAAATAAAGTTTTTTTTTGTTTTGACGGAAAATGTGATTTCTCGGTTTGTAAGAAGATGAAATTTCTCTGTACTAAATTTCTAAGTTAAAATATATTACAATAACCAAAATTTAATTATTTAACTTCAGCTAAAACCATATTTCAACAATTCAAAATAACCTTCTTTTTAGTTCTAAAGCAATAGCAATTGTTTTGATATGACTGTTATTGAATTATAGTTTGATAGTTTTAGAAACATATGTTTATGATAAATATTTGATAAATAAAGAAATTTTATAATTCAAAATAATCAAATTAATTGATAAATCTTTTCTTTAAAAAAGCATTTTGCTTTATATAATTACAAAAGAGGATCAAGTGGCAATTTATTGGAGAAAATAGATTATATTTATCATTGGTATGAAGGTACTAAAAAATATATTGCTTTATTCTTAAATATACATTTATAGTTAGTTATCTAAACAAATTTGATAGCAAATTATAATTTTGAAAAATAAAAAATTAAGGATATACAATGTTTATTCAGATTTAAAACATATAAATATATAACTTAAACTAATAAAAAATATAATACTTATTTATTAGAAAAATCATTTTATAATATTAAATATATATATAATTTAGAAAAATATCCCGCAGCGTAGCACGGGTAAATACCTAGTTACTCTAATATTAAAAACTCCGAAAATCAGGCATTCGTGCTTAAGAAAACATCTAATAAGGTAAATGAAGAAATATTGATTTCATTCATCAACAAAATTTCCAATTGAGACTCTAAAGAGACCGTTGTTACAGAGTTATAAACTCAAATTTTTATAAACAAAATCTAGAATACACATAATAGCAAAATAGAATGATGACCTAGTCAAATTATGAGATCCCTAACAATAAGAAGATGATAACATCATTGGATCCACATAAGAAGCCGTCTGATTCCATGATGAGGCACACTGACCAAGCTCAAGAAATGGGTTTAGTGCCGGAATGTTGTTGTTGATGCAGCTTCCATCCCCAACGAAATCGTGTGTCCCAAGTAAAGCTGAACTCATATTGTTGTTAAACGGAGTCAACGCCTGGTCAAAGCTTGAAGAAGCAGAGCCTCCCAGTTGAGTAAAAGTAGCGTTGTCATGGTTGTAAAGGAAAACGGAATACTTTCCCTCAGAAGGATTGAACGAATCAGTTGCGAAGCCACATCGGGTAGCAAAAGCACGGCACAGGCCTTGATCTTCAATTTGCGAACTTGATGGTAAATTGATGAACGGATCGGAAGAAGAAGAAGATGGTAAATCCATCGAGGAGAAGGCTGGCGAAGAAACCCTAAATTCTTGACTTTGTTCGGATCCACAATCTGACGAAACTGCAAGAGGGCTCTGATCGTTTGAGAAATTCGTCAGCGGGTCCTTGGATAGTGAAGAAGATGAATCCTTGGAGATGAAGGCAGAGGAAGGAACCATAAAGTTTCGATTTTGATCTGGCTCGGTCTGATGATCTTGGGGCTGAAGAACCCGGCTACGTCTGTCCTGTAATATCTGTTGAATATTTTGCAAAGAAGCTTCAATCTCCGAGACTCTCCGTGAGAATTTACCATCGTCTTTACCCTCGAGAGATCTCTTATTCTCGTCGTTCATCTTCTTGTTTAGGAATTGAGAAAGGTTTGAGCTTTTCTTGAGCTTTTCTCTATCGCTTAATCTGCTAAACCTCTCGGCCAAGTCTCTGACTTTTGAATGATCCTCGGGCCATGTCTGGATGAGTTCTCCGTCACGGCTGTAATGGAGTACGCAGGCTTCGATCTCGCATAGAGTCGAAAGCTCCAAGGCTTTCTTGAGAAGGGTCTGTTCCCTCATGCCCAAATTCGTGGTTTTCTTGAAACTAGGTTTTCTTCTCACGGACAATTTGGTGTTCTTCCTCGCCGAAGAAGAATAAGAAGAATCCATCGTTGAAGCAACGATAGGGGAAAGAGAGAAAATAGTGTTGTTTGAGAAACAAGAGAAGTGGGATTAGCGTGGGTCTGATAATGAACAGTGAACGCGACGAATGTTTAGGGCTGGGGGTATATATATATATATATATCAATATGCAATTTTGTTGTGGTTTCGGATTAATTTCCTTTTTTGGAGAATCTTAGTGTAATTGTTCATTAAATGATGATCCGATAATTTCCTTACTCTCCAATTAATATAGCCGTTGGGGATTTTACAATGCGGATACACATTTTCAATTGTGTATATAATAAATAAATAATTGAATACCCTTTTCACTCTCTCTTTCGCTGGTACTGGTAGTTGGATAGATTCTCAGATTCGTTGCTCCTCTGATTGGCCTAATAGGAAATTTCGAAGAAATCATGAGAAATTGAAAGAGAAATTGCTGAAGAGCACAATACGAAACCGACTTAAACACTAAATGAAGAGCCTTTCCCTTATGCTACTAAATGAAGCAGGTGAATCTGGTTCCCTCATGCAAGTACCACTACTGATATGAAAAGATAATATATTGGGTTTTTGAGGCTTTCTAACCTAAGGTTTTCAACGGTTTTTCGAGTCAAAGTGTTATTTTAGAGTCTTTTAGTCTTTTTATCGCGTTTTTTCAGGTTTTAGATCGTTTGGGAGAAAAAGAGCCATTTTGGGTGCAAACGAACATATGTAGATGCAGAACTATACAGAACGTCCGAAGTTTGGCATTCGTTGAAGTACTTCCCACCGATGGATCGAGCTGAAATTTGGACACAAGCTATATCTTTGAGTTAGATTTCATTTGGAAGTGGTTTGAAGTCAATCCAACGGTGTGATCAAAAGTTATGCCAGTTTTCGTGAAAGCAGTCTAGTCTGACGCGCAGAAGGCCGAAGAATTTCCCAAGAGAAATTAGATCGATCGATCTAGATTTGGATCGATCGATCCGAAGTTCAAAAACTACCCGAGACATTTTAGATTGATCGATCCAGGAGGAATCGATCGATCCAGGAGGGATCGATCGATCCGAGAGGCCATGGATTTCCCGAGAGGATTTAGATCGATCGATCCAAGTCAGGATCAATCGATCCGAGCTCTTAACCAGCCAGTTTGGTCGCGCCGAAATAAGGAAACTTTGGGTTTTTCCTATTCCAACTTAGTTTTCGACAATTTCTCACCCAATTCGTTCCTAAACCTATAAATACTTGTTTTTCAGCCATTGTTTAGGCGACCCTCTTCTTTTACATTCATACTTTTAGGTTTTGTGCTTTGTAAGCTTGGAGAGAAGAATCTCTACATCTTTTAAGAAGATATCTGAACCCTTTTGGATTTCGTATTTATTGATTATGAATTTCTCTTCCTCTCCTTGTGGTTTCTCTGTTGTCTTAATCTATGATTTAGGGTTTAATCTATTCATGAAAGTGTTTTAGATTGCTTGATAGAACATAGTTGAGCAGATTGTCTTTAGCCAACGAAAGCTGATGCTAAGGCAATCTGTGAACAAATCTGTTCATTAATGCTTGTTTAGAATTTTATGTTCAAACGAAAGTTTAGATACTTAAGTTACTAGACAAAGTCTTTGATGCCACGAAAGTGGATTAATTATACATTTATGTTTGAGTTCTAGATTGTTCTATAATCTGCCCTGAATAATTGTCTGGTTCTTGATCTCTGAATTCCTGCGAAATACCTAGACCTAGCGCTTTCTTTTACTGTCTTTAAACCGCTTTTATTTGCAATTTTTGTTTTACATTACATTCAACAACTCATATTCTTGTCTTAGCTTAGTTTCATTCATTAAGATTTGCAGTGTGACACTTGGTCTTTGTGGATTCGATCCCTACTTTACTACAACATTTGATGTGCACTTGCAGTAGTTCTATAGGGTTAAAACTCTGTGTATCAAAAGACAAAGCTGGCGCAGCTCTGATTTGCTAATCTTGGTGTATATATATGGGGTCTCTGAGCTCGGTTCAACAATGTTGTTCATGAGTTTGAGCTGCTACGTGGTGTGTCCGTATAAGCCGCTCAGAAACAAAAGCTATCTGAGGATGAGGTATAAAATGTTAAATGCTTCTCCAGTGGCACCACAAAGCTTTCGATTCAGAACTGTGAACCACTCTTGGAAGGTCATCATTTCATTCTGCAAGGGTCTACAGTTTGCCTACGAAAGAATGAAACTTTACAGTGAGGAACAGGTCTTGTCTTCTCAAACTGATATGGCTTCTGGTTCTTTGAAGCGAGCTCCATATGGGTTGTCCTGGTATCGAGAAGAAGTGCCTTCAAAGGTTGGATTCTAAAATATAGCTTCCTCTGTTGGCTTTTTGTACTAAAGACACTGACCCGAGTCTCAGAGGAACCATACACAAGTCTTCTGATCTATTCACTCCATTGTTCCACTCATAGACTCTCGGATCCAAAGCTAGCGACTCTTTGGCTTCCCAGATGTTGCAGGCGTGGTTTTCAACACACTCTGTCTATGCTGTCTACTTGGTTGATCTTTTCTTCGTCGTTCAACAGCTTCCTTTCTCAGATCTCCTCCTCATACATTGTTGGGGTTCAACATGTTTAATTTGACTTCCTTTACTAATTTGTTGGGCCTTCTATGCCCTCATCTTTTTATTAGGTTTTCACCAGATTAACAGTTGAATGTGTCTGGGCTGTATGTTTTTTTTTTTAATTTCTTCTTATGTATTTAATGCTATAGTAAATTATGGAATATCTATATCAGATAAAAAAAATAGATATTTTACGCATTTTTAAGAAAAATAAAAAATTCCAATTTATAGAATGATTTTAAAACTAAATCGTCAAATGTAGATAACGTAGATAAGAGGCATTTACTTTTTCTGATAGTTGTGGGAAACATAAAAAAAAAATACAATTAATTAAAACAATAAATATTGGATACAGAAATAGAGAGAAAACGAAAAAGGTACAAAAAAAATATGAAAATAAATTAGCAAAAAAAAAAATTAGAACAATCCTAAGGCAGAAGCAGCTTGAGACCTCCAGTGTCTAGCTTTTTCAAACCCATTTGTAAAATTCTCAATATCATCAACGGTCTGATCAATCTCTTCTTGTGTGTTCATAACGAGAGGACCAAACTGAACCATTGGTTCATTTATAGGCTCACCACCCACAAGAATAAACCGAAGTGGCAAACCGGAATCAGAACTGTTCCAAGCCTCTAACCGGTCACCACCTTGGCCTAGAATCAGCAAGTGATGCGCCGCAGCCTGTGACCTGGCATCCCCAAAATGGCCTTGGCCTTGAAGCACATAGACAAACGCGTTCCAGTGAAGTGGAATGGGCTGAGAGATTCGAGAACCCGGCGAGAGAATGAAGTCTAAATACATTGTTGGTGTTCTTGTACAGATCTTTGACTTAACTCCATTCCATTCTCCAGCTATAACTCTCACTCTCACACCATCTTTCTCTGCTTCTGCTATGTCTTTGCTCTCTATCTCTTGATAACTCGGCTCCACTCTTCAAAAAATAAGAAGAGGCTTTAGTCTAATATATAACTATTCCATGTGTTATGAATTGGTTTTCAGATGGATATATGCAAAGAGTATTACATCATAAAAGCTTACAGTTTGTGCTTTGAGGAGAGATTGATCCAAAGCTGCAAGCCTTTGTTGTGAGTAATACCATTAGCATTAGAAGAAGGCATTTCAGAGTGAACAATGCCTTTACCTGCAGTCATCCATTGTAATCCTCCTTCTCTTATTACTCCTTTGTGTCCTTCACAGTCCTCATGCAAAATTTCTCCCTATGTATATATTAAAATTACATTGATGAATCACGCTTGGCGATTCTTACGAAATTGAATAAGAAGATGAAAATATATTGATACCTCTAACATGTAAGTGACGGTCTCAAATCCTGTTTTTGAAAGAAAAACAAAAAAAAATTAGTAAACAGGAAGAACAAATCTTCACCCAAGTCCGAGCAACGATATAGTGATAGTGTCATACTCTGTTTTTATCAGAAGGTGATATTTTATGAAAAATATACTTTATTTTATTTAAAATATATATAAAAATACTATGATGTAAACGCAAACTCAATCTCAAACGTGTAGATTACTTTTGCAAGAATCGATACCCAAACCAACCTCTGTGTGGATGATCTGGGAACCCTGAAGGAGACGAAACTGCAAAATTTAGGGATTTTCTATCATTAATCTCTGACAAAATTGATTCAAGAGAACAGAGCAAAAACAGAGGAATAAAAGAATCAAAACCGACCTGAGAATTCATCCAAAACAAGAAATGGGTCGAAGTATCTTAACTCAAACCTGAAAAAATTTCAAATAATTTTAAATCTCTTTTTTCATTTGAATCAGAGTTAAGAAATTCTTTTTTAGCTGCTGTTTCGTAATTTGTTTATTACCTTCCGATGCTTCTTCTTACAACAGCTCCAAAGCCTTCGTGTTGCTGTCTAGCGAAAAGCTTCTTAACAACCAACCTCTTATTATTAATATTATTAAGATTACCAGAAGATTTCTCTAAAATTGGCATCTTGAATCTCTGAAGAGAGTTGGTCAAGAATATGTTTTATTTGTTGAATGTCTGGTGAAGATGTATATATAGTAAGGAAAGAGTTGTTGTATTGACAGTTGGCCAAATTTAAGAAGATGATTTATAAGTCAATGTCTTAAAAGGTTTTATTTTGGTTTTGAGGACGCCATTTCTTTTCTTTAAAACAGTATCTAATTTTGAATATACAAATAAATTCATTTGAACAAAAAGAAAACCAAATAAGTTCATTTTTTGCTTAGTAAAAGTAGCTCCAAGTAGATACGCTAATACGTTCGCAAGAGTTTATGTCAGGAAAAATATATAATATAATAGGGATATTAGTAAATTTAGCTAAATATTTTTTTGGTAAACAATTCAGCTAAACTCTTTAGCAGGAAAGATTAACACTGGATGAAATATCAATGGTTTGTGTTACGTCATCAGTTCATCATCACCAGAAATCTTTGTAATAACTCGCAATAAAGATGTTTCATTTCGAAATGTTTTGTGGGAAGGCAAAAGTGAGTGATCAATCTAATGTTTCGCTAATGGACCCCGTGGTGGATATATCCCAATTATTGCATGCCTTGATTCTCTTTTGTATCCACAGCTTTACCACTTTATAATTTAGAAAGAACAAAATAAGTTTTTGTGTCCAAGTTCGAATCCGACAAAGTTTATTCATATAGTGAAGCCAGCATTTAAATTATCTATTTTCGTTTTAAATATTGTTTTTTTATCAAGTATATAATCCTGATTAAGATCGTCTACTCTCCTTTTTTATTTGAACATTTTCTTAATCAGGATTATATAATGTACTTGATAAAAAAAAACTGATCAGGATTATATAGAAAATGTTTCTTAAATCAGGATTTTGTTTGTCGAGATAAGAAAGGTTATGTTACTATGAAATATGCTATGTATTTATGAGTAACACTATCGTATGCCGAGTGTATGTTTTACGAAACTACTACAGTTTATGCAGAATTATATATATATATATATATATATATATATATATATCTTATTTGACATTTGTCTCATCGCAAAAAATACAAAATAGTAATAACGTAAAAAGTAGTTATTTGATTGTTATTCTTATTACAGCTGTAAATTAATTTTGTGAGTTTTTTTCAAATTTAGTCTGTTTTATATGATAAAACTAATGAATTGTCCAATGTATTTAGATGCGAAATACGAAGTCGTTTAGTTCAGATAAGCGCACACGATTATCAGAGGATCACGTGACATTAATAGCTTTCGACAGCATGGCGTAAGGATGACGGTTAGACGATTTTATTATGTCACTGATTTGAAAGGTCAAAAAAGACACGAACTCAAGTCCTTGAATAAACTCAGAGCTAACCCAAGAAAAACGACAAAAATGATTAAGCTACTCAAGGTATTTTTTTCCGATTTTAAAAAGCAAAACTTCTGGAAACTTATTTATGTTTTTGTCTGACGAATGATTACACAACCATGACGTCATCATAGATCTAAAGTATTTTCTGAGCCAATATGTACAAATTTGACTGTATCCAAAAGGAGAAGAATGAAGCTTTTTTAATGGACCAACCATAGATTTCGAAGAAATTTAAAGTTTGAAAATTGAGGCAACGATGCTTAATTGGATTTCTCACATGTCTTCTTCCTCATCTCATCATGTTTTGCTTTTACTGTCTGTTACAAAGTTGTTGAATGCTTGACCGATTTGATTAGACAGTCGTCTACATGTTTATACAATTGAATAACCAAAGTCTGTTACAAAGTTGTTGAATGTGGTTTGATTAGACTATCGTTCGAGTGTCCGGTTTAAGTATAACCAAACCACATTTTATCCACGAGTTTAACAGACGAGAAAGTCTACCTTTCTTGTTTTTAATCAGGTTAAACGTTTTATTTATTCTGACATCATCCTATTAGTTTATTAGATATATGATGTTTACACATTAACCCAATAACTCATGAAATGTCAAACGTGAATTATAACGGTCGACGACAAGAAAATAGTTGATCCCTTCTATGTAAAACCAGTACAATCTCAATAATTTTTGACATTAAAACAGAACAGATATGTAATTATAAGTTTTAATGTTAAATCATATAGTTTGTTGTGAAAATAAAAACATAAACTTTAAAACATCTGAGGTCATCAACAACACTTACTGTTACTACTACTACTACAACATTTGACAAACTGTTTCTTCGGTTCATGAGTTTTTTACTTTTACAAACAGATTCTGCAAACTGCAAAAAAAAAAAAAAAAAAAAAAAAAAAGATTCTAACCTCTCCAAATTTCTCAAACCAAGTAAAGCTTTTCTTGTTATTTTGTTACCTCCAAGCACAAGAAGTGATCAGAGGTTGATTCTTCCATCCTAAATACAAAGCTCCATCTCTCTCTTCAAGTGTATACTTCTCTGAGTAACTCTCAAGCAATCCTTTGATCGTCGCGTTCACATACGAGCTCAACGGATACGGTTTGAAACCGGCCATGTGAAACCTCGACCTCCATTTCCCTAACGGCTCGTGCCTCTCTTCTCTTTCGAGCCCTTCACAAGCTATAAGATTCACCACTTCCCTAGCCAAACAATGCTGCTCCACATTGATCCTCTCCTTGTGATCTCTAGCCAGTTTCACATCGATCGACTCGAAAACCGCCAAGTAATGGTTCATCGTCTCCACAAACCGGGGAAGAAACGGCGCGGTGTTCGTATTCGCTTCCTGCTCGACGAGAGTCACGACGCTCGGAGACAAACGTTTGACCAGTCTCAACAACCTATCTCTGTGGTTCTCAACGGTCACGCTCTCGTCAGGCATGTGGTGAAGAACGAGCGGGAAGTTAACCGCTAAAGCTTCCCCATTTCTAACTCCAAGCTTCTCGATTTCGACCTCCGTGCAGCACAAAGCAGCTCCGTGGAACTCAAACGGCACACCGCACATTTCCGCTAGCTTCCCGAGTCTCTGTCCAACTAACTCGAGCCCGCCTTGCCGAGCAAACGACGATCTCGGATCATCTATTCCCGTTATCCTGACTCTCGGTGGTCCTCCGGGACGAGCACCGAGTGCACGGATCAAACTCACCCATTGCCCTCCTTGAGAGATTTGGAAATCGATAATGTGCACAAAGCTCTCGTTCTTCACAGCTTCAGCTATAGCTCCATTAGCGGATTCATAGCCGAATTTGAAATAAGGGCAAGCTTCGTATAAGATATGCATGTAAGTAAGAAGCTCAGGACCTGTTGGGTCTTTGCATCTCAGAGCTTTATAGATTGAGCTACCAGAAGAAGCTAACCGAGCAACAAGCCCTTCAAGCATGTAAGCTCCTAAGCGCTGAACAGGCTCACCAGAAACCGAAACCATTTGCTGTAACTGAGAGATCAACCAATCAGTCATCGCCACATCGTAGTTTTCGACTGCTTTTGCGCATTCGTAGAGCATTCCTTTTAAGTCTCCCCTAGAGATCATCTCCATTGATCTATACATCGCTGAAGAAACAACCTTATGTTGTTGTCCAAACCCGGCTTGATGATCATAACCATTAAAGCTGTTGTCTATATCAGGCTCCATCATTGCAGTCTCTAAGTCTTTGAGCATGAGACTAAGCTCTGTCTCGTTGTTGTTTGTCGCGGAAGACCCGCTTAAAGGAGAGTTGTTGTTGTTGTCGTCAGGGGAATGATTGAACTCCGAAAACCGGGACGAGTTGTTGTTGTTGGACTGCGAAATCGGACTTTCGTTAGAGGAAAAGCTTGTGGTTGAAGAAGTCTTGTTGTTGTTGTTGTTGTTGTTAAGACAAGGATGAGACTTGGTGCCTGAAGAGGATTCAAGTGTGCAGTAAGAATCAAATGTCTGAACAGAGATGTCCATTTGCTGGACTGAAGATGGTTTATGGTAAAACATTGAAGATCCATCTTGAATTATATGTTTCTGAGTAGCCTCCATAATGAAATTATCTGCCAGCAAAAGTAGTTTCTTAGATCTTTTGGGAGTTCTAAGCTTTGAACACGAACCCTAACTGTTCATCTTACGATTTATAGAGACAATTGAAGGAAAAGGTATCTTAAAGATTGTATCTTTAAATAGATGTATTCAATTGAAGATCGACCCAATAGAATAAAATCATAAACAAGATCGAAACATGACTTTAATCCTCAAAAGGAAGACAAAGTTCAGAGATCTTAACCGTAACTCTAAGCTAAAGAGGACTGTTACATAACCCTAAAGGCCTAAAGGATAACTCAATTTCAACACAGCTTAATCAAACAAACAAAAAAGATAGTTATTCTTCACATCGATTGATACATGAGGACGAATAACGAAATTTAAGTAAGGAAATCACTAGAGAGACTCGTAGACACACAAACTCAGCAAAGCAACCGACAGAAAACACAACTGATTGAAGAAAAGAGAAAGATAGAAACTTTGAAATCAAGAATCTTAGTTACGAAAAACGAACCTGGTTAAGTTTGCAGGGAGAGAGAGATTGAGAGATTCTTGAGGTTTGAGCAAAAGATTTGTTGGTTTTTGAGTTGAAGCTTCAAGGCAAAGAATCAAAAGACAAATGCTTTGTTGCTACCACTTGCTGCCCACTTTCCACCAGGGGGAATAATAATCGCTCACCTCATTTTTATCCTCATCTCTTTCTAAACAAAATACCCCTTTGACTATTCCCATTTACATATTTGCCACTGTTGATATTTATGTAGCGCGTAAGAATTTCTTTCTAGCAGTCAAGATTATTATGACGATTGACGAGTAATATGATAAAATTAGGATGATAATGTTTTGTTTGAAAATCAAAAGTTTCTTTTTTTTTTGGTCTCATTGTTATATCATTATTAAAATGGTTGGATTTTATATCAGTTCTATCAATGATCTCTGCAGTTTACAAACGATTAATCGAATGTGACCATTTTTTTTTTGAAAAGAACTATTATATTAAAATGGTTGGATCTTTTATTTATTTTATTATTAATGATCTACAGTTTACAAAGGATTAATCGAATGTGATTGTTATTTTTAGCATATTCGTAATACGATTGTATGTG